TCCTTTCCTAGGGCACAAGGCACCCACATGGCACAGACATACATGCAGAAAACACACACACACACACACACACACACACACACACACACACACACAAACACACACACACACCCCATAAATAAAGACATATTTAAATTTTTTTATTCTAAAAGATTTATTTTATGGGCTGGTAAGATAAGCTCAGTGGTGAAAATGCTTGCTGCCAAGTCTGAAAACCCCAGTTCAACCCCCAGAACTCACATGGTAGAGAGAAGGAAAGAGAACTGAGTTCCTCAAGTTGTCCTAAGGAAGTGCCTTGGCGTGCACATCTTCGCTCTTTCTCTGTCCACACCCCTTGATAAAAATGTCTGTGTGTGTGTGAGAGAGTGTATGTCTCATGTGTGCATATACCCCTGGAGGGGAGAAGAGTGTGAAGTACCTGGAGCTGGAATTACAGGCAGTTATGAGCAACCAATCCAGTGTAGGTGCTGGGTCCCCTGGAGAGCAGAGCATACTTAAGCACTAAGCCAACTCTCTAGTTCCCAAGAACGAACTTTTAAATTACGACACTTGAGGTTACAAGTGGCACTTCTAAAGGGGAGGGATTATCCCTCCTCCCACAGACCATACCTGCCACCAAACCAAGGTTGTGAGTCACCTAGAACTCAAATGCCTAAACGCCCAGCAAACCTTCCAAGCCAGGGGTTTTTGGCTGCTCTCCCAAACTTCCAGGTACTCATCCTGTTTCTGCTGTCCTGGAAAAGCAGTATCCAGAAGAGGAAACTGATGAACGGCCAAATCACAAAACAGATGCCTTTCCAGCACACCGTCTCCACTTTCCACCAGCAGACTGAGCAACAGGCTCAAACAGGACCATATGCTCTCTGCTACTAACTTTACTGGGGCTACAGAAACAACAGGCTATGGAATGCAAATGGTCTTTGCACTCTCAGCCTCTCAGTTTGCATTGCTAGATGAGGACCAGCTTGGTAGACATGCAATGAATCAGCAGCGAAGGACTGGCTGATTCTTACCTGCCCGTTCTCCCCGTCCTGCTTCTCAGTAGCTGCATGCTGTTGCAGGCGATTCAGGCATTCTGTTCTCTCTGCCGACAGTCTTTCTACCATCAGTTTGTCCAAAACACACATCTAGGGTTCAAGGAGACAGGGCACATACTGAAATGATCGAAGAATGAACTCTGGCTTCCACTCACAAGGAGAGTCCACAAAATAGGCAACTGACTTCAACTCCTCCTTCCTTTCTAGTTTCACAGTATGAAATTCTAGCTTTTCAGAATTCCTGCACATATTTCCTATAAAGTCACTGTTGTCCCTTTTTCTCATCATAAGTCTTAAGGGCTTAATAGACCACGAGTTCACAAAAATATACAACATAAGCAAATGGAGGCAGGGATTCTGGTAGGCCCTAGAACATAAATGCCAAAGCTAACATTAGGAACAATTATGGAAAACCCCCAGAGAATGGGTTTCCCAATGCTTCACTAAAGGCAATCAAAACATGCATGGAAACGGAATAGAAACTATTTCAAAGACTGCTTAGGAGACCAATTGACTGCTATCATTTAGTCAAAGATCTTTCTGGGACCTTGTAACATTTCCTGTAGGGCCCTAACTCCTATGCTAGACCAAGCTCATTGATCTGACAAGGTCCAAAAAAGAGAACAAAGCTAGTGTCAGAAGGAGCCAGTCACAAGGTCTCACTGGGGAGCCATCCTGTACTGGTGACACACATGGACTTCCACAGCGAGGCTCTACGAGTTCCAGAAGGGTGGGTAAGCCTCCTCTCTGTGTCTCTTGGGTTCCCATGTTTTTCTGGGAGCTGCTTACTTATTTACCAGGGTGCTCCTCCCTGTCTTCTGCTACAGAGATGTCCACATCCAAGAGGTGAGGTGTGCAGGGCTTCTTTAAAAGTGACAGCATTGGCCCAGGCACCTGACTTACATTGCTGGGCTCACGTCCTGTTACGTCCTAAGGATTTAGTTTTCATCTGGCACAGTCCTTAGGGGGTACAGACTGTCTGATACATCATGACCTAGAGAGTTTTCAAATACTCTTTCCACAAAATGCAAAAGGCAAGTAAATCATAAAAATGTACAACCTCAGTGGGTATGGGGGTACACCCTTTATCCCAGCATTCTAGAGGCAGAGGCAGGGGGCTCTGTGAGTTCCAGGCCATCCTGGTCTATATAGCAAGTTCTAGGCCAACCAAGGTTACACAGTGAGATACTATCTGAAAGAGGAAGAGAGAGAATGTCAGTTAATTCAGCTTCACCAGAAACACACACACACACACACACACACACACACACACACATACACACACACACACACACAGAGAGAGAGAGAGAGAGAGAGAGAGAGAGAGAGAGAGAGAGAGAGAGATTTCAGCTTCACTATAAACAAAGAAATAAAACAATAGAATGCCTATTTAACACAAACTTGAAAAAATAAAATATTAAATGATGGCAAAATTGGAGACAGAAACTCAAATACTGGTGGAATGTAAATTGGCACAACCTTTCTATGAGGTAACCTGCCAGCATTCATCAAAAGCCTTGAGCATTAACATCAGACCAAAATATCCTAAACACTAACCAAGTCTGAGACTGGGCCAGCAAGATGACTCAGTAGGTAAAGACATCTGCCAACAAGACTGAGAACTTGAATTCAATCCCTGGGATTCACACGGGAGGAGAGAATAAACTCCCCCCCCCACACACACACAAACACACACACAATTAAATGTAAAATCATTTTAAAGTCTGAGAAATGGCCAACAAATAACTTTTATAAACTTTTATCTTAAAATTATTTGTAAGAGTAGGAGAGGCTCTCTGCCTGCCGCCTTGAGAGCCTTTATCCAGTTGCTGTTCGAAGCAGAGACAGGCACCCACAGCTAAGCACTGAACCATACTCCTGGAATCCAGTGTTGGAGAGGGAGGAGGGATGAGCAAAGGAGCCAAGACAGTGTTAGAGAAACCTGCAGAAACAGTTGACCTGACCTACTGAGAGCATGGAAACCCTAGTCATAAAGTTGGGGAACCAGCATTGGACCGAACCAGGCCCTCTGAATGTGGGTGCCAGCTAGGAGGCCAAGACAGTCTATAGGACCTCTAACAGTGGAGCCAGTCTTTAACCCTAGAGCAAAATGGACCTTGGGGGCCCATTCCCTATGGAGGGATACTATTGCAGCCCAGATACGGCAAGGAGGGCCTAGATCCTCCCCCGAATGATATGACAGACTTTGAAGGTCCCCTGTGGAGGGCCTCACTATCCCTGGGGAGGAGTTGGGGGATGGGTTGGGGGGGTTAGTGGGGAACATGGGAGGATGGGAGGGAGAGGGAATGGGGATATGGATATGTAAATATGAGTAGTAATTAAAGAATTCAAATAAAAAGAGTAGGAGAAAAGTCTAATAATAAGTGGTTAAGTAAATTATGTTGTATTAATAGGCAAATATTATGCAGATAAAGACACGGGAAAGTGCTGGTGACATACATGCGCAATATCATCCTCCCACACAGGCACAGTGCTGCACTGTGAAGCACACTGCAGCATGGAAAAGAAAGCCTCCAGGATGGCCCTTCTGGGCACTGGGGAAAACAACAACAACAACAACAAATAACAACAACAAAAAAACAAAAAACAACCCTGCAAAGATGAGGAAGTGAGCACTAGGGAATGGTGCTAGGAATCACACTTCTTTAACGGGAAGGGCTTTCTCCAAAACATATTATTCTATATGTTCACTTAAAGTGTACCTTAATGAAAAATCTTACTCATTGCACATTTCCTATTAATGACAAGAAAAGTGTACTTTCATCGTGGAAGAAAACAAGCTCCCAACTTAGCATCAGTAACCCTAAAGTACCCTGGCATTAAGTGCCACCATGTAGAGGGCAGTCTAGAGTTTACACTACTAACCATGATGTATGCTTGCAGAAGTATTTATTGGAACCTAAGTAACTCTAGCTGCAGCACTTGGAGGTCTTGCTCTTCACAGGCTTGTGATCCCCACTCAGAATTCCAGTCATGGTGATTAAATTCAACTCAGCAAATTCGGAATAGGCCCAAGAGTTCACCTTGCCAGCCTCTGCTGCTGCTGCGTAGGGACCACACTCTCAGAGCTGTGAACTGTCCCAGACCTTTCTGTTGGCAGAAGTGCAGGGATGGAAAAACAACTTTGAAGAAACTAGGAACAAATCCAGGAGGCAGCAGGCCATGTAAGAAAAGCAGCATGGATGCTCCAAAGAGCCAGCAAGCTGGAAGGGACTGGGAGCCGCTCAGAGACTGCAGAGCCCAACAGTCAGATGTCCAAAGGGCCCTTAAACATCCGGGCATGGCAGCAGGCACCAATCATCCCAGCCATGTAATAAGTTTGAGGACAGCCTGGGCTACTTGAGACTTTGTCTCAAAAGATTAAACAAATAAGTAACCTGTGAAAACAACGAAATAAAATACTTAGGAGCAACTGAGAAAGTCTGAACATGGGCAGGATATTGTGCAATTACTGTTGATTGTCTTGGATGTGATGAATTTTGGGCTTATCCCTAGTGGGCACACTGTGAGCTACTAGAAGGTCACATGGCAACTCAGTCTCCCCCAGTGTGAGGTGAGGGACTGGTGAGGCAGTAAGAGGGACCCAAAGCAGCAAACTAAGAACTGAAGCTGGATGTGGGGCCCATGCTTTTAACCCCAGTACTTAGAAGGGGGTCAGAGTTCAAGACCAACCTAGTCCACATAGTGAGACTTTGTGGACAGAGAATTGGTTGACTCTCAGCACGAGTATAAAAGCATTTGTATTTCATCAGTGTCTTCTCTAAACTTTTCCTTTATGTTTGACTGTTTTCCTGAAAAACACTTGAACAGAGGAGCTGGTGCTGTACCTCACTTGGTAAGCACTTGCTTAACCCGAGTGAAGCCCTGGGTTCAGTCCCCAGCACATGAGACGAGACGTGGGGTGCAGGCCTGCAACCCCAGCATCTGGGCAATGAAGCTGAAGATCAGAAGTCCCAGGCCTCCTCAGCTACAAAGTGAGTCTGAGGCAAGCTTGACTCCATGAAATCCAGTCTCAGCAGAACATACAGATGAAGAAAATAAATATTAACAGTTTTTCTTTTTTATCACTACAGGCTTGTGGGTAATTTGCTCTCCTCACTAATGCTTATTTTTCTTTTCTCTTTCTTTTTAAAATAATGCTTTGTAATGGAAATGTATCCCCCCTCCTCTCCCTCTCCCTATCTCTCTTTCTCGCCAAAGTCTCACTATTGCCCAGACTGTCCTTGAATTTGTGATCCTCCTGACTCAGCCTCCTACATGTGCCACTATGCCTGGCAGGAATACATAACCTTTATGATCCTAACTTTGGTTATACGCCTAGGGCTGGCACACGCACTGAACCGAACCACAAGCCCTGACATCTCGGAATTGTCTTCTGCCCTCACGCCTGTGGTTCAGGAGGCTGTGCCACCGCTTACTTGGTGCTGGGTCTTGCCCTCCAGCTGTCCCAGCTTTGTGTTGACTTTATCCTGCACTGATGCCAGCTCAGCTTTTATCTCCTCCACCGTCGCCTCCAACTGGTTCTCCAGCTTGTTGATTAAAGGTTCACAGCGACAACCCTTTATGGGTGCCTGGGGGAATGAAAAAGGAGTCAGGGGCTGGAAAGATGGCTCAGTGGGCAAGAGCACTGGCTGTGCAAGCCCAAGGACCTGAGTTCATATCCTACCACCCACTTAAAAATCCAGGCATGTACATCTATAATCCCAGAGCTGTGGGGGCAGAGACCATGGGATCACTGGTGCTTAGTGACCTCCAGGTTCAGTGAGAGACCTGTCTCAAAGGAGTAAGATGTACAGTGATAGAGCAGGGCACCCAGCGCCCTCCTCTGGCTTCTGCAAGTGCACACACTTGGGTGTATGCAATCAAATATATCACAGAATATATGACACTAACAAATACTTCCCCCCCCCAGAGAGAAACAGAAAGAGAGGTAAAAATTAGTAAATTAGCCCTTCTTTATTAAAATATCATCTTGGGCAACCACTGTGCTTACTCAGGATACTAGCAGGAGGCAGAAGACAGACTTGTCCCTGTGCTAGCATGGGAAGTCCCATTGTTTCAGCTTTGGGTCCAAAGGCACTAAGATCCAGAGGGTAAGACACAGTATCTATCTTAAAACAGCTTGAACCCACCCACTCTGGAGCCTCAAGACAGAAGTCCTCTAAGGATGGAACAGATGCTATGGGCAGTGACTTCTTTTGGGGCCTACATGGCACGGCACATATGCACAGTTTGGATGGGGGATCTTGTGGCTCATGTCTAAGTCAAGCCCCCAGTAGCCACTGACCGACCTCCAGGCACAGGCTTTACCAGCCCTCGGCGTTTGCAGGTTGCTAGCCCAATGCAGCTGTGTGGTACCTGCATCACTTTTCCATCCTCGCCCCTATACAGTGTGTAGAGCTGGTACGCCCTGAATCCATGGGGTGGAGGTGGGGACCAACATCGATGTCTGCTCTTCTTTTTGGGGTGATGATGACTGTGTGGGTTCCTTTGGTGTCCAGGCTGTTGGTCTGCTGCTGGGGTGGGGTCAGATAGTGCTGACACCTGTGGGAAGGAAGAGCCACCCCTAAGTCCCCGCAGCGACCACTGGAGAAATCCCCTGCCAGCATTTCCATCTCCCATGCAATGCTACACAGTATAACCCAGAAACACATGAGCACCCTCTTGGGTGTCTAAAACCAGTGGATTTCATTTTTGTGTTCATTCCCAAATGGCCAGCCAGAAGCACGGTGTCCTGGCTGGGCAAGTCACCACAGACCCTCCTCCAAACCAACCCCAAATGTGCCCTGCACCCAGGACTTGCTTGCTCCTGACCTCTGGCCTTGACTTTCTCCTCCTGTCACCCTTCCTGGGCTCCTGAGAAGCAGCTGGGCAGTCTCTTCTGGCTTCCTCTTTTTGGGGGACAGCTTGCTCACTGCTGGGGGTGTCTCCTGCTGAGACACTTCCCTACAAAACAGAAGCCCCCAAATGGTTTCACTTGAGCCTTTGGCCTCTGACCCCAGCTGAGTAAACATCTGCTTACAAGACTCCATCCAATCATGGACCCACAGGGACGTTAGCCAATGACAAGTATTCTGCATGGTGGACAGGCTCAGCAACAGCTGCTGGCTGGCTGGGCTTTTATCTGGATAAAACGAAGTATGCTCTTGGGTACATACTTTGGTGCTTTTGTGTATTAAAAAAAAAATGTCTCTATATCATAGTCCCTGCCAAGAAATCTCAAAGAGCTGGGCACCTCACACATGTCTTTAATCTCAGCAGAGGCAGGTGGATTGGATCTCCAAGAGTTCAAGGCCAGCTTAGTCTAGCTAGCAAGTTCCAGACTAGTCAGAGCTATACAGTGAGACCTTGTCCCCCATAAAAAAAACTTTCAAGGGATCCCATACTGCTCACTGCACAATGGCACCTGCTGGGGTGAATCTCCAAGTCAAGCTTGTATTCTATGTACTATGCAATCCTGCTGTGCCCCGTGTCATCCTTTTCTGACTTACATACAGAAGAACAGCCTTGCTCCAGTCTCTAGTTAGAAATCAAAGAAGCAGCCTCAGAGAGTCTCAGAATCACCTACAAAGCTTATTCAAACACACCAGGCTGCCTCTGTCCATAGCTCCTGTTCCAGCAGGTCCAAATGAGTCCTAGAAATCTGCATTGCTAATAAGGCCCCAGGTGACAACATGGGCACCACAGCTGCAGAACCCAAGCTCTGCACAATTCAGGGCATAGTATGGCTGTGTCCACAATGGGACAAAGGCCACAGGCACACAGGGCACTCAGGGAGGATGAAGGCCACTCTCACTCATACATACACGCAAAGACACAGGATCTAGAACTAGGGACAAACAGGGAGGGACAAAAGAAGGGGGAAGCAGTCTGAACCCAGTGAGAAGGACAGGCTAAGGAGAGCAGCATCAGGGCAAGGGGACACCTGGGGTCTGTGGGAGGGTCCATCTGTCCTTGCTCTGTGCCACCTCATCTCTGGGCACAGACTGGGCCCTCCTCTCTTCCTTGAGCCTCTCTCTCCTTTTCCTCAGGCTTCGCCCACGACTAAAGCGCAAGATCTAAAAGAGACAAACACTATAGTTGTAGGGGTGAAGGGGACACAGCATCACCATGGTATGGCAGAGGGCCTTGGGCATGGTGGGAAACACTAGTAGTAACAGAAAACTCTGGACTTCCTGTGCCCTCTTAGTCTTGTGTTGAGCACAAAGGGGACCCAGAAATGAGTAGTATACTGTCTCTGATCACAAGAGACTTCTACAATAATAACAGGCATTTATGTGCTAGGCTGGCATGGCCAGATAGGGGTGCAGAGCCAGCAGAGAATGCTACTTATGTAAACTAGGATAGGAATGGCATGCCATGAGGTAGCCCTGTTCCAGGCAGTTTCATTTTCCACCTTCCAGTTCCCTTGACCAAAGTGTATGAAAAAAAAAAAAAAAAACCAACAACAAAAAACCTGTCAGTTTAATTCTGACATCACTGCGGTGTATCTGTAGACCATCAGAATAACCATGTTTCCCAAAGGAGGACCTGTGTCTGCCCCTAACAATGCAGTGAAGCAGAAGGAGTCAACAAGGGCATGGGACAGGAGATGTTGGGGGACCCAGAAGCAACTGGACAAGCACATTGTTTTGGCTGCCCGGGGCTCCTTCTCATCAAATGGAAAGATAGGGAGCTGCTGGGATCAGCCAGGAACAGGAGATGGCTGTACCTGCCGTCATTGCCTGTCCTTAGCCCCTAAGATGTTTAGTTGGTAGAGTGTGTTCCACCAAACACGGACCCGAGGCACCAAGAACCTTCAACCTCTGGCCCATGGCATTTAAGAATATAAAAGTCTCAGAGTCATTGATGCAAACCACAGCTAGTGACAGTTCAGACTTGTTGGTGAGTCTGACAAAGTGACTAGTGCTGACTGCTCACCTGGTGTGGAATCTTGCTGACCTCAAGCCTGAAATTCTTCACACTTGTGAACACAGCCATCACATATGACAAGTGACAGGAGGTCTTCTGAACCCAAAGCAGCAGCAGCAAGCACCCCTCCACTAACCATGCTATTAGCTGCCTGGAAAGAACTGTAAGGCCCACAGCCCTTCTCATTGTAACAAGGGCCAAACAGAAGATCGTCACCGACTTCCAGACTCTAGGAATCTATGAACGTTGGCCCAGAGGCCTTGGGAAAAGGCCTCCTCTTAGTGCTGCTGCTGCCACCAAAAGACATACTTAACTAACGGCTTCACCAAAAGGGCTTTTCTTTACAGACAAAGAAAGTTGCATGTGAAACTACAGACAACAAAACACTATGCAAAGGCCATATTATATTATGTGTGAGCACCACCAGGACACAGTGCCCACAGAGGGCAGAAGAGGGCATTAGATCCTTGGAAACGGAGTTACAGATGGTTGTAAGCTACCACGTGGGTGCTGGGAATTGGACCTGGATCCTCTGCAAGAGCAGCCACTGCTCTCAGCACCCAAGTCATTTCTCCAGCCTTCTAAGCCATTTTTAAACAGAGATGCAAAGGAGACCGGCTCAGGGAGATAGCAAAGGTGAAGATCCTTGAGCCCTGGAAGTCAACTGACAGGTGGACTTAAAACATAGCACTCTCTGTGTGCCTGATGAAGTCTGCAACCCCCAGACCCACTGCCCTGTGTGTGACTGAGGATAGGGCTAAGCGGGTGTCAAGTCACCAACTGTTGAAATGACAGATGGACTGCTAGACACTCTACTTTCTGACTGTGACAGACCAGCATTTTTCTATATTTTGCAAAGCTGGGGTGAGGTGGGGTACCACATCCTTGCATGAATGGGGTCCTGGAACCCTGACTAGGGGCAACAAGGGAAGGAAGAACACATGGGCACACAGACACAGCAAAACTGAGGTCATCTTGGCTGTGCTCTCTCTGATGGGGTGGCTGCAGCATTCTAGAAGCTCAGCATGTTTATTATATAACTTGATCATATACCAGGGGGCAGGGTTTATGGTATACAACTGAACAAGGAAGCAGGCTTAGCTAAGCTCTGTAGGGGGCAGTCTTCGGATTACAAGCATCTGTGGGGGAAATGTTATGGTGAGCAGTTTTTGCATACACTTTCAACATCCACTCATGGAACAGAAGGGCTTTGAGTCCCCCCATTCTCAGCTATGAGGGCTCATTGGCTTTGTCATCCCTCAACATCACATGGGGAAGGCTCTCCTGATCCCATGGGTCTGAGGCATCAGCGACCTTGACACAGCCATTCTCATGTTAACACACATAGACTGAGGATCTCACACGTTCCCTACAGTGGGGCATTATGCTTCTAGCAGCTTGTCACACCTGATGCCCACATCAGAGTGCATGCATCTACAGACACCACTGAGCAGGACCAGCTCCATGAGCAAGAGGGTGGTTGCTCTTACAAAGGAGAATTGTCGACAGTCTGGAAACTGCTGCCAGGCATATAAACACGTCTTTAAAATTAAGTGAATTGAGGGTCATGTGACACATTACTAGCAGCATGGTAATCAGAAGGTCATGTGACATGCTCTCCCCACCCCACCCCCAGCAGCATGGTACTCACAGTTCATGTGACATGCTGGGTCCTGGCACTATAAGCATGATTCTCAGAAGATTCTTTTCATTCCCTGAGCCTCACTAAGATGGACAAGTCAGCATTTGCAGCCTCGCTCTAGAAGAGCCTGCCTTCCCAACACTAAGGAAATGATTGCTTCCATCAGGATGAGTAATGGTGAACATATAGAACATCCTTCTGTCTGAGCTATGGCATGAGGCAGAATGGAAAGGGGAGGGTCCAGGACGCTCGCTGTAGCAAGGTCACACCACAGCGGGAGAATGGCACCCTGGACAGAGCTGGGCTTGGTGCCACATAGACTTTTACACTCTGTTCTGCCTCACTTCTTTGCCCATCGATTCTTATTTGCTTTCACCTGGCTTCATTAGAACACGGCCAGGGGAGCCCCCGGCAACTGTGTAGCCCCACATAATCAGTAAGATGCTCTAACTCCTAGTAGGGGAGCCTTGGTGAGTAGCAGAGCAACTTCAGGATTATTGTGATAGCGGGCAGTCTCCAGTGGGGTCTGGCCTGCCTGAGGAAAGACACAGGGAAGACAGGTGACAAAGAGACCCCAGGAGGGGGCAGTTCCACCCTCCATCACACCCAGGTGAAAGGGCTGCTCCAGGGCCTCAGTTCCTCAGTTCCTCACTAACACCTCTGGGCTAAGAGGACAGGAAACAGAGGGACACAAACTCGAGGAACACCAAGGGGACCTCTCTGCTGAGCGAAAGCAAAGGATCAGACAATCCACCTACAGGCATGAATTCTCCACAGGAGCAGTCTCAGCACAGAGCTACAGCCAGAATGTAGGCTGTAAGATTAAACACCAGGAGTGATGTCAGTGGGATTCCACAGGAAAGGAGAGTGTGTCCTGGAGTTACTGTGGACAAGGTAACTGCAGCACCAGGCAGGTTAGAGCTATAATGGAGGAGGGGGTGGGGTGCGGGCAGGGTGAGCTAGCCACAGAGATAAAGAAAGCCAGCTTCAGGGTCCCAGTGCCTTGCAGGAGGAAGGGTTCCAGCTAGGGAACCGACAGAAACGATCAGGCATGCTGTGAAAAGGGAAAATGGAAGGTACAGTCCTGGAGAGAAAGGCATTAGGGTCCTCAGGTGGCTTTACAGCTGGCAGGAAGCCATCTTTTTCTTTTAAGATTTATTATGTATACAGGGTTCTGTGGGCATGTATGCCTGCAGGCCAGAAAGGCCATCAGATCTCATTACAGGTAGTTGTGAACAACCATGTGGTTGCCTGGAATTGAACTCAGGACTTAACCTCTAAGCCATCTCTTCAGCCCCAGAAGGTCATCTTGAGGCCCATGTGCCAGCTTGGTGAGGACCCCTCAGAACTCTCTTCTTGCCAGGCTGTGCTCACCCCTGCCCAGTATCTAAAAGAGTTAACTCCTGGGGCTGCTCAAAGCTGGCCCAATTCAGATGAAGGCCCCAGGGGCTGTGGCTGTGAAGCTCATTGAATCCTCAGGTGCTGTGAGTCTGTGAAACTCATTGCTGTGGTTCAACTTACGTTGTTCACGATGGTCGTGTCAGCGCCAGCTTCCAGCAGGATTTTAACTACCTTCTTGTGGTTTAGGGCAGCAGCCACATGGAGGGCTGTATCTCCAGCCTGCAAGCAATCAGAAAATAGCTTGCTAAACTCATGTATTGGTCCCAGGCTAGCTATGCTTCCTAGGTGGTTCCTATGCTTCCTATGCTGCCTAGGACACTCTCCAAAGTCAAACAGGATTTACTCTACAAACATGAAGTTCACTGTGAAAGTCTTGAAGAGACCCCCCAAAGCTGAAAGGTCAATGCATTCATTCATACCATGGAGTCCAGAAGCTACAGACCAGGGTCACATATATATGGTTAAGAGGACCAGTTGGGTTGCTGAGAACGGAGGGCCTCCAAGCCTCTAGGAGACAGGCTGAGGGGCTAAGAGCATGTCACTCAGAGCTCTAAACTGGTCCGACTGTAGTCGGACCAGGGAGGTCAGGATTAGCCCTTGGCTTCTGAGCTGGCACTGAGGAAAAGCAGAGAGAAGCCTCGTGCCTGGCCCTCAGCCATCTGCATGGATCAGGTACCCTGTGTCTTTTTATCTGCAGGCTCAGGTAGGGACAACAAGGCTCAGGCTTTAGTTAAGGCTTCCTGCTTTCTACATTTTCCCTTCCAGCCTGTAAGTTTTCATACTCTCTTTATACAAAGTGTTCCCGGGTAATCATCCCTGAAATGAAGCCAGTTCCAAAAGGCAGGCTGTCATTTCCACAGGGAATGACAGAAGTGAGAGAAACACAGGAGAAGAGAGATCCATCCTCCCCTGGCAGAACAGACAAAGAGCCCCAGTATTCAATCATGGGCAGTGGGAAAATTCAGCCATCTTTGAGTAGAGGCAAAAGCCTATTTCACCCATATCACTAGTCCTGTGTGCTAGGGAAAGCTCTGTGGAAGTGACCCCATCTTAAGAAGTGCTGATGCCAGGGTCCCTCTCCTAGACCTGATTTCACTTGTGTACCGTGTGGGCTGGATGTGGGGGATTTCTGAGGGTGGGGCTGAGATGGGAGTGTTTTGTTTGTTTTAAGTTCCATGCTGTCACATGCTGCTAAGACGGGTGGGTGGGGACTGAAAGTGGGTAGCCTCTGCCCTGGAAGCTACTGGTGAGTGGAGGGAGATTTACAACAGTATTCTGCTGAATCTACAGCACAGGGATTTTTGACTCTTTTACATGGGATGGGACCCAGGGCGGCATCTTAATGGCTCTCCTAAGCAGCCAGAGAGGGTAGAAGCCACTGTTATAGGGTATGTTTAATCTGTTCCACAATCTAAGTTTAATTCCAGGGTTAGGCACCTCGTTTCCCACAAAGGCACATGAAACAGGAGCCCCAGCAGTTCTCACAGGAAGTGGCGGTGCCAGACTGGAACAGCAGAATTCACGAGACTCCTATTTCACTTGCTTCTCTTCTTCTTCTTTTTAAAATTTATTTATTTTTTTTATTTTATGCACATTGGTGTTTTGTCTGCATGTATGTCTGTGTGAGGGTGCTGGATCTCCTGGGACAGGAGGTCCAGACAGTTGTGAGCTGCCATATGGGTGCTGAGAATTAAACCCAGGTCCTCTGGAAGAGCAGCCAGTGCTCTTAACTGCTGAGCCATCTCTGCAGCCCCCCATCCTTGCTTCTTTTCTATACCACGCTCCTTTTTGTAGTTTTCTTGATAAAATCGTAGTATAATCAAAAGTCACGGTTCACTTTGTAACTGTGGGGATAAGCGCAGGAACGGATACGTGTCCAAGGATGGAGGCAGCCAGATAGGCCAGAACCATTGTGACAGTGAGATGCCAATGCAGAACAGTGCTGGTGGAGTCCCAGATGAGCCAGAGGGCAGCACCTCCCAGCAGCCTCTACCCCTGTCCCTGCCCGTTAGGCTGCCCTATGGGGAGAGGGCCTGTGCCCATAAAGAGGTATGTGCACTGACCTGGTTCTTTTCATGAACAGAGCAGAATGCGCTGAGGAGGAGCTTAATGATGG